TGTGTGCTTCTTTTGATAGATGAAGATCCTTGTGATGTTAAAAGTATATGCTGATGATTGACTAGTAGTTTGCATAATAATTCTGGATAGCAAAGTGTATCCAAGTTTGTTTCTGGATTCAATATTAATCTTCAAGTGGCTGTTAGCATACAGTTGTGTAAAGAGTTGCGTAATAGAGCTTCCAACGACTCACGTGAAAAGTATACAGTACAGGTTTATCAGCTGGAACTTGATAAAAAGTCAAATGCTACCTGAGAAACATCAAAATTATGTCTAAAGGAGTGTTCCACGTTGCTCAGTGTGCTTCACTCTGGTTTACTAGGTTCTTATGCTCCCATGACCTGGTACAGATGTGTACGTCTTATTGTAGGTGTTATACTTGTTTTGTCAAACCCAATACTACTTTGATCGGTTGGATCTGTTTTAAAATACAATAAGATAATAACATGTTTTTTATCATGCTATTCACAGTGGGAAGTTAATAAATTAAATGTTATTTGAAGAACACAAACCAACTGTTATCAGCTTTTTTAGGAGAATTTCCTGTACACACATTCATTCACTGTAATCACATTCTTCGTCATGTCGAACTTGTTGCATATCAGCTTGACAACCATGAAGCAAGACATGTGCAGTACACCTTTCATTTTGAAAGGACCAGTCCATGTTTGTGAGCAAGACAATTGCACTGACCAAAGTGTATCTCCCAAATGAAAGGGGTATCCCATGCAAATCCTCAAACTCAAATTAAAAAATATGTCAAAGCTGTGCTCTGACGTCTTTAAAACTGTAACAAACAACAATAATTATTGTAGTAACAATGATGTAGTACATCAAACATGAAAGACCGTGTTTAACCACATTTCCAAATATGGAGAAGAGTCTTTAAGATGTAACACGCAGCTGAGAATTTTTGACAAAATTTGAGATTTTGGAAATGCCATGGAATGTGGTCTTCGGTGTTTGACACACCATATACACAAGTACACCTATCTTCACAATTGAAACTAGAACTAAGGAGAAAAAGGCGACTTAAAATTACAACATCTATGTCAAATAAGATCAGATATCCAAACATGATCACAGTTATGATTTACATTGTTTAAACTTGATGAGTTATTGATGAGTTTGAGAAAATTATTTGAAAGTGCTTCTGCAAGTGAATTTTTAAGAGACATATATTGGGCATTGTTTGATGTCGAGTAAAAATAATGAACAATGTATTAAATTGCATTACGTTGCATTGAATGTACATTCTTGCAAAAACCGAAACTCTTCCTGGAAGATTATTTAACCTCATTGCAACAGTTAAAGGCAAATACACATTTTTTGTGCAGAATTTGTATTTTGTAGAACTGTATAGGCTTGATCCAATAAGCATATTCTGAGTACAGTGTCTTCTATTTGATCATAAATTTTAAACATAATCAAGTAAACATAATTTGCAACACACTGCTTACCAACGTTTTCACCAAAGTGTGTTTCTGTCAGTTCCTTGACTTGTGGCCAGCAGACACAGTGGTTGTTGGATTAGTGTTATTAAATACTGCAGGGCCTGGATTGTTCTCTACATCATTCACTTCCCCTTACAAGCAATGGGATGTAGACAAAATGTAGCCCATCATTTCTGTACATGTCCAGAATTTGTTTCAATGTTGTCAAGTAAAACACATTTAGCTAAGACATGCTAAGAATCCATCCCTGTTGAACATGTGATAAGGCATCCTTCGCTTCCTCAACCGGTGTTGTTCAATTGATGTCCCCATACTTGCAGTTAATATTGCCATGTAATTTACAAACAGCTCCAGTAGATGTAGGTTCAGCAGTTTGAGTGCATTCACAGCTGCTCAAAATAACTGCACAGTGCAAATACATATACATGGTTTACGTGATCACAGTATAATCCAATAACTGACACTTGTTTGGGTGAAGAAGGTAAGTACTTGCGAAAGCGAATACTTCTCCTGTGCAATCCACACTGAACACGAGCCGAGCCTGGATAAGTTAATGGCTTGCGTGAGAAAAACAAATCTTGTATCGCCGAAGAAATTCTCTCAGGAAGATCTAACTGAAATAACAAGGAGAACACAGTTCTCGAGGGCAGTGCGGGAAGAAAGATAATATAACAAAAACGAGGCAAAGCAATTTAGAAATGGAAAATAACTTACTTTGACTTGCGACGGTATGCTGTTGAAAAATATCTGAAATATTACAAGTACACAGCAATGGCTGCCGTATCGAACAGTCACGTCATATAAGCCTACTCAATTCCTCCCAGAAGACCTTGCGATACGCGACACGTAGACACATAAATTCCGCCGACGGTAGCATAGTGGAGGCTGAAGCCCCCACAAAAAGGGAACCCAGAAAAGTGGTAACCAGAAAGATTATAGCATTGGTTGCTAAATATAGCCCAACTTCCACAAATAGCTTCGTTTTGATAAAACGGAGGAAACATCAGCTTTGTCTATTTTAACTTGAATACGGGTACAGTTGAACCTCCGGTTGCGACCACCTCTTGTAGGTGACCACCTCTCCTCAGCAACCAGTTTTCCAACATACAAAAGTTTCCAAGTCAAACCTTACCTCTAAAGCGACTGCGACCACTTGACAAATAATTGAGCTTAAATTAGATCAGATGTTGTAACATTATTGCATTCCTGGGTAGTACAAGAGACTAAAATTTCTCATTGGGGAATACCAGATTTTTTCTCGAAATTGACTTTTGACATGAATAAAACATTTAAAACATGGGGTAAGTCTCTGCAGATATACCATATGCTAATGAGGCAAAATTTTGACCCAATATGGTCTAAACTCTCTTAAGTGACCACCTCCTGTAAGCAACCACCTAGGCTTGACATTTTGGATGGTCACTTCCAGGAGGTTCAACTGTATTTAATTTTGTTTTCTTGTTTCTTTTAACAGGTATTTAATGATTGCATCTATATAGTGCAAAATTTCTGCCAGAATACCTAAATAGCATTCCTGGGGTTCTGAAGCTTCAAAATTTTCCTGGACCCCCTCCCCCCTACTATACTAGGTACCCTGCGGCAGGAACTAAACTCCTTGTATGAATTTGGTTGCTAAATGTAGCTGAACCACCTTGAGCAACTTAAAAAGAGGGAACGTCAGCTTTTTTCAGGCTTTGTTTATTTCTGTTTGAATGTGGGTGTTGTGATGACAGCATCTATAAGTACAAAAGGCCTGCCAGAATGCCTAAAATAAAATTAGTTAGAGATTTCTCTTCACCTAGTGTTTAGGTGTTGTATGTAACTTGTATTTGCTTGGTGTGTCCATTCCTGGGTTCTCAGTACACCTGACGGCCCCCCAAGTGGGGCCATGAAAAAGGAAATCAAGCTCAATGGAAAGGCCTGGTTGAATTACATGAAAAGGATGTTATGGACAAATAATAGACCTCATACTATTTACAGAGGTTGTAACTTAAATTGCAGATGGGATATGAAAAAACACTGATTTGCATCTACTTGAAAATAAAGTGTGTTTTTTAAACTCAATTCTTGCAAAGTACTGACTAGCACAAAAAAAGAAACACAGCACAACAGCACAAAAACAATATTCTGGAGCCATTGGCCAGCATTACAGTCAGCACACATGAGGGGACTAGTCCCTGCGACTAGTCCCTGCAACTAGTCCCCTGAAGAGTTTACATGAAGGGACTGGTCGCAGGGACTTATCCCATGAACAGTTGACACGGAACATTCTGAGGAACAAGTCGCAGGGACTTGTCCGAAAAATTCAAATTGGTTTGAATTCCTGGGACTAGTCGCAGGGACCAAACTTTGGTCCCTGTGACTAGATTTTGAAGCAAAAATGGCCAGTTCACACAATGGGACCTGTCCCTACGACTAGTTGCAGGGACTACTCACAGGGACTAGACCTCATACTATTTACAGAGGTTGTAACTTAAATTGCAGATGGGATATGAAAAAACACTGATTTGCATCTACTTGAAAATAAAGTGTGTTTTTTAAACTCAATTCATGCAAAGTACTGACTAGCACAAAAAAAAAAACAGCACAGCACAAACAATATTCTGGAGCCATTGGCCAGCATTACGGTCGGCACAGGGATAAAAAATGACTGAACAATAACATCCAAGAGTAGTAAATTTTTGTTTGAGATAACCGTTCAAGACAGGCAGTAACATGGTTGTGAATATGTAAATGGAGGGTAAATGAGATGATATCTGTTTAATGGACCAGTTAGTATCCAAACCAGGATCCAAAATCCTTGAACATCAGCCAAACAAACGGATGGCATACGCACTACAATAAGAAATTAATGAGAGAACATTTATTAAGATATAAAGGGAAGAAGCCGAGCCACAAAATTATACACTTATCGTGATAATACAGGCAGTAACATGGTAGTGAATATGTAAATGCAGGGTAAATGAAATGATATCTCAGTTTAATGGACCAGTTAGTATCCAAAGCAGGATCCAAAACCCTTGAACATCGGCCAAACAAACGCATGGCATATGCGCTACAACAAGAAATTAAGGAGAGAACATTAATTAAGATATAAAGGGAACAAGCCGAGCAACAAAATTATACACTTATCGTGATAAAACAAGGGTAGAAATCACACAATCATGCCCCGAACATCTGACACATCAAGGGAAAAGCCCCAACTTCAAGTCCGATTTTCTTAAAGTTCAACTATCGCACTAAGGTATCACGCAAAAATAATCCACAATACTGATCATTGTTATCCAGCAAGCGAAAGCACCTGTGCTAAACAAACGTTTTCAACATAGCATGATTTCTGTTGACTAGTTTTGATGCAAAAAATGCTTACCTGCACTTGAGACCTGGCAAATAACTGGCCTAGATATTACGCTGGCAGCTCCTACAAAAAGTTCGTTTGATTCTCATGATGAGTGTAGAAATTGGTCCAGAAACGACAACCCACTCTCAACTTGCAACAAAATATGTGTCCGGCCATTGCTCCGGCTAAGACAGCACATGATTCATTGAGTACTGTCATGTGAACCGTGTCCGCGTTTGAGTGGACATAGAGGGACATAAACAACTTCTTCTTTTGACAGAGGTGTCTTTCAAGA